AGTTTAGTTTCTGTTTCTGAAATTAGTTTTATTTTTGACTATCAAGAATTCTGTGGCACAGCTTGTTAAAGCCACGGTCTGTCTCACTGGCATCCTACATGGGTACCTGTTTAAGTCCTGGCTGCTGTACTTCTGGTCCAGCTCCCTGCTAGTGCATCTGGGAAAGCAGTGGAGGAAGGCCCAAGTCCTTGGGCCCCTGCACCCATGCGGGAGACTCAGAAGAAGCTCTCGCTCCTGGCTTTGGCCTGGCCCAGCCCTGGTCATTGCTGCCATTTTAATAGTGAACCAGCGAATGGAAGATCTCTTTCTTTCTCTCTGTAACTCTGTGTTTCATATAAATAAATCTTTATTAATTCTTATATTTCATTTGTGAGTTATTCTAATTCGAAATTATATCATCGTTTTATGTGCTGTATCATTTTCTTAATGTTCATTTTGAAATAGTATTTTACAGTTTTAAGGGCTTATTTTCCTGGCATACTCTCAGTGTATGTAGCAATTCTTTTCTTTCATATTTTTCTTTTGATAACTTGACCTTGATACATTTCTGTTGCTCATTTTAAGTGTTGATTTATTTTGGAGCCAGAGAGGAGGGAGGGAAGTAGGAGGGAAGAAGAGATAGGTGAGAGGGATAGGCAAAGAGCCAGAGAGGGAGAAGAAATCTCCCTTCTCCTGGTTACTTCCCAAATGACTGCAACATCCATGGCTGGGCCACGTCGAAGCTAGGAGCTACAATCTGGGTCTGATACGTGAGTGGTAGGTACCAGTGTCCTTGAGCCATCAGAAAACTGAAATTAGGAGCACACTCAGGATTTGAACCAAGCCACTCAGATATGGGATACTGATGTCCCAAGTAGCTTTTTAAACCACTATGTAAAATGCTCAGCCTTGGTCCTCATTTTATGGGGAAAATAGCTTTTCTGAAATTTTAAAATGAAGTGTGGGATTCAGTAAATTTTTTTTTAAACTTTAGTGTGTTCCCTCCTCTATTGTTGTGTAGTATTTTGCTTTCTGAAATTTCATGGCTATATATCCTTTCTTGTTGACCTTGGGCTGCTGCTATTTTTTCCTTTTTGGTTGTATCACTTAAAAATAAATTTTAGATTGTTAATTGGATCAAATTACACATACACATGTTTATGCTATATTCAGTTTTGTATTTTCCTCACCCTATATATAGATTTTTTGTGGACGTTTTTTCAGTTTTTTCATCTTTTATCTTTCTCTTTTCTAGTTTAGGCTTTTAGGCACCTGAAGCCATTTTTCTTGCATTAATTTTTTTTTAGTTAACATTTTAAATTTATATTATAGTGAAAGGCTTAATGGTGCCACTGAATAAAGAGTTCACAAATAAAGAGACCATAGTTCAGCAGAAAAATAGGCAAAAGGCTATTAACTATCAGTTGGTAAGATGTTTGACTCCATTCATATAAATTCTAAAATAGTCACAAAGTCAGCAAACCTATACTAGTATATAATTTCTGTCAATTTTTTTGGCAGATATTTAAAACAGATTTGACAAAAAATGCCATATTTGCAACAAAACTGATACAGCTAGCCAGCAGGGCCCCCCCCTCCCCAATTTATAATTAGCTCCTATTTAGCTCCTATATATAAGGGAGAACATGCAGTGTTTGTGTCTGTGTCTGGCTTTTTTCATGCAACAGAATGTCCTCCAGTTCTAATCATTTTGATGCAGATGATAGAATTTCATTCTTTATAATAACTGAATAATATTCCATTGTATATTTGTATGCCATATTTTTCTTTATCCATTCATCTGATGATGGACACCTTGGTTTATTCCATATTTTGATCATTGTGAGCAGTGCTGCTGTACAACACCATGTTTACATCTATCTCTTTGATACAGTGAGTTCTTGTCTGTTGGGTAAGTACCCAGTAGTGTGATGGCAAATCTATTTCTATTGTCTTTTTAGGAAATCTCCATACTCATTTTCCACAGTGGCTGCACTAATTTTCACATTCCCACCAAAATTTTTTAGTTCTCTTTTCTGCATATCCTCACCAGTATTTTTTGTTGTCTTTTGAGTAATAGCCATTCTGATAGGGGTAAAGTGATAACTCATTGTGGTTTTTGATTTGCATTTCCCTGATGGCTAGTGACACTGAGCATTTTTTTCATATATTTGTTGGCCATTTGTATTTCCTTTTTTGAGAACTGTCTATTCAAATCCATTGCCCATTTCTTAACTGCCTTGGTTTTTGTTGTTGAGTTTTTTGAATTACTGATATATTCTGGGTATTAATCCTTTGTCAGATAAGTAGTAAATATTTTCTCCCATTCTGTTGGATGTCTCTTCATTCTGTTTCCTTTGTTGTGAAGAATCTTAGGAGTTTTTAAATCTCTTTTGGGGGCCAGTGCCATGGCTCACTTGGTAATCCTCCGCCTGCCACACCGGTATCCCTTATGGGTTCTGGGTTCTAGTCCTGGTTGCTCCTCTTCCAGTCCAGCTCTCTGCTGTGGCCCAGGAAGGCAGTGGAGGATGGCCCAAGTGCTTGGGCCCTGTACCTGCATGGGAGACCAGGAGGAAGCACCTGGCTCCTGGCTTGGGATTGGCACAGCTCCGGCCATGGCGGCCATGTGGGGGGTGAACCAACAGAAGGAAGACCTTTCTGTCTGTCTGTCTCTCTCTCTCTCTCGCTGTCTAACTCTATCTGTCAAATTTAAAAAAAAAAAAAAATTCTTTTGTCTGGTTTTGCTTTTGTTGTTATGCTTTGGGGAGTCTTATCCAAATAGTCATCACCTACCCCAGTGTCTTGAAATGTTTCCTCTACATTTTCTTCTAGTAATTTCATTGTGTCAGATCTCAAACTTAGGTCTTTGATCCATTTTGAATTGATTTTTGTATATGGTGAGAGGTAGGAATCTAATTTCATTTTTTTACATATATGTGTCCAGGGCTGCTGAATTTTGATTCCATTCTCCTTGACCAGTTAATTTTGACAATTTAGACTGCTTCTGCTTATTTAATCCTTACTGCTGGCTGCTTACATCCACCTGGGGAGAGACCAGAGCCTTTCCTTGTTTCAGATGCTTTTTACATATTGGCTCATGGGCTTTTCTGGTTTCTCCTGTTGTTGGGTCCATCAGATAGCACTGATGCTTCCTTTAGCTTTCTTCTGCATAGATGGTGGTGTCATGGATGTCTTGTACCCTTGACTGTTTTGTTGTAGCTGCCACTGTCTTCTGGGATCTCTCCCATCTGTTTTATAAAAGAAAAATAAAATAATTCATATATAATTTTTTATGCCTAGTTTCCTTCATTCTCTGTGTCTTTGATCATTGCTTGATTCATGTATTTCACCTAGACTGTTCCATTGACATGGAGAGTCCCCACCATGTGCCAGACATTTCACTGAATCTTTATATATATATTGAATCCTAACTGCTTGTCCTTTAGCTGTATGTGTTACCTGTACTCATGGATGTGGAAGGTTAGCAAAAGTTCAGAAATTTGTATGAGCCCATGTAAAAGAGTTTATATTCAAACCAAGTGAGCTAAGCTACCATCTGTAATGCCAGCATCCCTTATCGGAGCACCTGTTCAAGTCTTGGCTGCCCTCCTTTGAACCAGCTCTCTGGTAATGCACCTGGGAAAGCAACGGAGAATGGCCTCAGTTCTTGGTCCCCTGCCACCTATTTGGAAGGCCTGGATGAAGCTTTGGGTTCCTGGCTTCAACATCAGTAGCAAGGATCATTGGGGCCATTTGGGTAGTGAACCAGTGGATGGAAGATTTCTATCTCTCCCTCCCTCTGTCATTTTGACTTTCAAATAAATAAATAAGCCTTAAAAAAACGAAAAAACAAAACAAAAGACAAAACAGAAAAAGAAGCCTTCAAAATCTGTGTTCTCTTTTTTGCCAACTGGCTTCTTTTTACTTTTTATTCCTTTCCAGATTATCCATTGTTTTTGTTTTCTGTATCAGAATAACTTTGTTAGTATACAGATCTAATCATTTTGCTTTTCTTTTACTTAACATTTTTTAGTTGTTCTTTTGCATCTTTAAAAACAAACTTCAGGTTCTTTGGAGAGAAATAAAAGACTTCTTAGAAATTCATTCGTCTTTCCTTTTCTGATTCTGCTGTTTATTTAATTACAAATTGACATGAGTTCCTTTGGTTTAACTTCTTGTTTGTTTCTTCAATCTTTAAGACTTATTTCAGGGTTATTTCCTATGTGAAATGAGAGGCAATCTGATTTCTAAGTCCAGTAGAATAAATGATTTGCTATTTTGCAATGATTTTTATAAATTCTAGGGCCATTTTTGTAAATTTAGTTGGAATCTGTTTTCATATAATGATGAATTTTTTTATAGACTTCTAACTGTGGAACTCAGATAATACATATAAAAGGTAGTGAAAACCTCGTGTGCTTCTCTTAGTATTTATTCTCCAGGTTCCCAAATACGTTGTTCATTTGAGTTGTCTGTTCAACAACTATGTAGTTCAACCATTTAAACCTATTCAGTATCTATTATAGAAAGACGGTGATACTTAAATGAGTATATGTGTAAGATTTTCAGTCTAAAGAGTAAGAAAACGTGTATGTTGAACAGTTAATTCTACATTAACTATCTGTCTTGTTCAACCTGGGCTGAGAAATGTATCACAGAATGGGTATCTTAAAAAATATTGAGGTTAGGAAATCTGAGGACCACATGCTGGCAGATCCAATGTCTGATGATAGCCTACTTCCACTCACATGGCAGAGAGTAGAGAGAAAATGTCAGGTCTTTTGTGCCTTTTTATGATACTACTTCTATTCATGAGGGTTCCATGGTAGTTTATGAACAGAAATTTTTTTGACTCTGGGTGCTGAAGGCTGAGAAATCTTAAGATTTCTACACTAGTGTGTCTTTATTTTTTTTAACTAAAAAGTTGACTTTTCTTGTCTTGTTTTGGACATCAGCCATAAATGTTTTTGTGTGAGTATGTGTACATTTATATGTAAATAATAGTCTTTTTTCTTTTTCAGAAATGCGAGATAAAATGAGAAAATGGAGAGAAGAAAACTCACGAAATAGTGAGCAAATTGTGGAAGTTGGAGAAGAATTAATTAATGAATATGCCTCTAAGCTTGGAGATGACAGTAAGTTCTTTATTTCATTCAGGCTCAGCACATGTCTTATTAATGATTCATGCTTGCAATTTTTTTAACCTTTTAGCTTTGCTTGTTCTGTTGGTCATATCAATTTTACCTGTGACTTTTTGTTTCAGGAAATTTAATGATACTATATTTTGAAAAGACTTAAAATTGTGGGTAGTAATAAAGCTGCCAAATAGCCATTCTTGTTTTAAAGTTCACAAGGCTGCCAAACATCTGGCCAGACTATGTTTCATAAAGACATTCTGGTCTGGCTAACATGTATTTCATAAAACATTTTTAGAACAATAAAGGTATTAAATAATTGGAAACTTTTACCATAAAGGATGTTAAAATATTTTACATCACTGACAGCTTATAAGAATACTTTCTTCTTGAAATTATACCATAAATCAATTTTAAGTATAAATGGTGTTCTTTAAAATATCAGAAGCTAGAAAATTCATTAATCTGAATTCTTGGAGAGTCTAATATTAAATTCTACTTTTTCCCCCTCTTTATGTATCAGTTTGGATCATATATGAACAGGTGATGATTGCAGCCCTAGACTATGGTCGGGATGAGTTGGCATTGGTAGGTATTTAATTATCTTATATTTAATTAGCTTCATGAATTATATATAAATAGGTAAGTCTTAGGATATGGCTTGAACTAAATGCTTTCTCTAACTGGTTTTGAATGCTGTTTTTTTTTTTTAGCTAATTATTTTTATTGAAAGATTTTATGCATTCCATAGGTACAGTTCTAAGAAGACAGTTCCCTCACTTCCCTGCTCCCCCCAGTCCCTCTCCTGCTTCATCAGTTTTTGCAAAACTTGTTTTTTGTTTGTTTTTATTTATTTGCTTGAGTGGTGGAGTTACAGTCAGAGGGAGAGACCGAGAGAAAGGTCTTCCATCCGCCAGTTCACTCCCCAGATGGCTGCGATGGCCAGAGCTGATCTGATCCAAAGCCAGGAACTTGGAACTTCTTCTGGGTCCCCAACACGGGTGCAGACCCAAGCACTTGGGCCATCTTTCACTGCTTTCCCACGCCATAGCAGAGAGCTGAACTGGAAGAGGAGCAGCCGGGATACGAACTGGCACCCATATGGGATGTTGGCACTGCAGGTGGAGATTTGGCCTACTATGCCACAGTGCTAGCTTCAAAGTCCATAATTCTAATCCATTCTTTAATCATAGGCTTAATTAGTGACTGAGAATAAGTAGATAATTTGGGATACAATATCTTAAATCTTTTTTCTTTTTTTAAGATTTATTTCTTTGAAAGAATTAGAGAGAGCGAGAGATCTTCATGTGCTGGTTCAGTACCCAGATGGCAGCAATGGTCAGGGCAGGACCAGGCTGAAGCCAGAAGCCAGAAGCCAGGAGTTTCTTAGTTTCCCATGTGGGTGGCAGGGACCCAAAACTTGTGCCATATTCGGCTGCTTTTCCCAGGCCAATAGCATGAAGAAAAACTTGTTATAAATTGTGGTTAAACACTATAACAAGTTTTTCTTTTGGGTTGTTCAATGACTTTCATAGTATATAGTGTAAATACTGGTGTGCAATATTATCAACATGTATTTTAAATTATCAAAAGTTTTTATTTGTCATACACAACCACAGACTTTGTATTTCCGAATCACATTAAAACATTTCATTAGATTTAAATTTTTAGACATAGACCTTGATGCTATATTTCCAGAACCCATTAAAACATTTTGCTAATGGTTAAGTTTCCTCACTAGTTAAAGGCTATTAACTAGTTCCTCATACTTTAGGGCACTTTAATGGACCATTTATGTAATTTTTGATTTTTCTTAGAATTGTAAGACCCTTATAGTCCCTTAAATGTTGCTGAGAACAGAGCTACTCAGTAAATACTTGATTATTTATTTAGTTGTTGAATGAATTGTGGATACCTGTCCAAAGAAAATTGGTACTCTTAGATTTGGTGTCTCTTTTTTCTGAACCCAAAATGATATATGTGAATTTGAAGGATGATTGATTAATATGATTTTAACAGAGCAAAATTAAATAAAATGTTAAAATTATTTACTTAACTCTTACCAAGAGAATATTTATGTTATAATTAGGAAGAAAAGACTAGGAAGCTGTTGGCATTTAAGTACATTATGGAAACAGTTTTTAAGAAGGAGTAATGTGATAGTAGTTTTTAAAGAGTTATTAATTGATGTCCTAATCTGCTTGTTTTCTCAGTTGATTGCATGATCAGTTTTTAAGAACTGATTGTTGCCATCATTAATTTCATAGTTTTCTTTCACCTCATTATTCATTACTCATTAATTTTACTTCATGATATTAGGTGACGCTAATGAAATTATTCAAGATGATACATTGAAGACTATATAGGTTACTCCTCATAGTCCATTTAGTATACATAAAATGTAATTACTACTCTTCATTTTTCTTTTTTTTAATGAATTATTTTTTTCAGTTTTGTCTTCAGGAGTTAAGAAGACAGTTTCCTGGCAGTCACAGAGTCAAGCGATTAACAGGCATGAGATTTGAAGCCATGGAAAGGTAACCAAATCTGAATAATGTGATTCCATTTAAAAATGGCAAACACGAGCCTGTGTTTAAGTCCTTCTACACCACTGGCATATTATTAATTAATTGCACAAGGTCCTTAGCTGTTGACTCTGAAATATGTCGCAGTGACATAGTGATGCTCATGATCAATCTCGCCAGCTATTCTCAGTAAACAGAATTCAATATATAAGAGTAGGATACATTAGCTGTCTGTGACCTAGTGAAATAGGATCATGCTTTGGACTAAACTGACTTCAAATCATGATTCTTGCATATATTAAATCTTGAATTGACAACTTATTTAACTTTGTTTTTGTTTTTAAATTTACTCTTCAAAAATAATGGTATTTTCAACTTCTCAGGATGGTTTGTACACACATATTTATATATAAACATACACTCAAAACAAAGCAAGTGGGAGGCATATTGATCATCTAGCTCAGGGATTTTCATTTTCAACATTTTTGAAAGTGAAACCTGTTTTTCACATTTACTCTTAACCCAGAAAGGCAAGAGAGAGAAGATGATCTGATCTGTTCTATTTCAAGCATTGCATGGAGACCAACTTGGCCCATCTCTAATTCTTCCATATTAACTTCTGCAGCCATCTGCAGGGAACAGATTCAAGAGTTTAAGTAGGAAGCAAGGTATTATAGAGTTCTTCTCTTGGGTTGAAACTGGAGATACACACAGGTACTATATTGTGTAGGGTTTTGTATGCTCTGCCAAGGAGTTTCAGCTGAAGGTATGAGGAAATCATAGCAATGTAAGGGTGAGTAACAATTGAATTGGTTTGTAAGATCAATGTGAGTCAGTAATCTTAAAAGGAATATCTTTGAGAACTGTTGTACTAGTCCATGAGAGAGAGAGAATGCTATTTTTTTTAGGACTTATTTATTTGGAGGGCAGACAGAGAGAGAGAGACAGAGAGACAGAGAGAAATCTTCCATTTGCTGGTTCATTCCCCAAATGCCTGTAACAGCCAGGACTAGGCTAGTTCTGAAGCCAGAACTCTGGAGCCCAAAACTCCTTCTGTGTCTCCCACATTGGAAGCAGAGTCCCAAGCACATAGGCCATCTTCTGCTGCTTTCCCAGGTGTATTAGCAGGGATCTTGATTGAAAGCAGAGTAGCTGAGACTTGAACCAGCACTCTTGTATGGCATTCCAGTGTCACAAGCTGCTGCTTAACCCTCTGTGCCACAATGCCAGCATCATAGATAAAGATATCTGAAATTATGACAGAAATTAGGACAGATGAGAGAAATTAAGGTATGAGGTATGAGGTATGAGTAGAAAATTATTTACTGATTGCATTTTAGTGATATGGGCGAAAGATCTGTAATGATTTGTTTTCCTCATCTTGACTACTTAGGTGTCATCAACCAGACAAACAAATAAAGAATGAGGAGGAATAGGTTTGGGTGGAAAGATACGTTGAGCTTGATGTATTCTTAGGGGATATCTTGCTGGAAAAAAGAAGTTGAATATATATTCTGAGGAGATAGATTGTCCATGTGGAGCAAATAGAGAATCAAGTCCACCTGTCAGAGACTTAGTTTGTATTGATGGGATGGAAAGATCACTCATACCAGATATGAGAATGTCATCTTACACAATTTATATAAAAGAAGTCTGGAATACATTCTAAGGTTTGACATAGTTAATTGATATTAAGGCTTTTCTGATAAACAGAAACTAAAAGAAATATGTGCATAAAGATACTCTTTGCAGTGTTGAGTTGCAACAGCAAAAATAAAAATATGTCCTCTAGCCTAGCTTGTTCCTTGACTGTTTTTCTTCTTTTTTATCTTGCCTATTGCCCAATTTTTTTATTTCATTGAATATCCTTGCAATGAAATCTCTGCTTATCTAAGAAGATTGCTTTAGAACAAGATCCTGGAGAAAATTTACTGGATTGAAAGATATGCTTACATTGAAGGCTATTGATACACAATGCTAGAGTACCCGTCAGAACACACAAGTTAATTGTCCACCCAAAAGAATTCCTGATGTGTCCTCATCCTTAAAACAGTGAATATAGCTATTTACTTATATTATCTTTTTTTCATAAGTGAAAAAATATTATTTTAAGTATTGCTTAGCACAAATTCTAGTTCTTAATTTCATTTGTAATATATTTGTTTATTCCCATTAGTGGGTTTTTTAAATTTACTGAGATGTAATATATGAAAAAGCACTCAATTGAAGAATACAGTTAACTGAATTTTAGTAAGTATTTTATGCCCATGTTATAGCCATCCCATTTAAGATATAGAAAATTTGTGTCACACAAAAAGTTCTCTTTGCTTTTACAGTCAATGCCAGACACCCAGTGGATCTGATATCTGGGTTTGAGTTTTATTTCTATGGTTATATGTGTGATTATTTGTTGGCTTTTTATTGCTTAGTAGTTATTGTGTACATATATTATGGTCTGTTTTACTCCAGTTGTTGAAGGATATTTGAGTTGTTTCTAGGTTTGAGGTAATTTTTTTTTAAACATTTATTTATTTTACTTCAAAGTCAGAGTTACACAGAGAGAGGAGAGGCAGGGAGAGAGAGAGAGGTCTTGCATCTGATGGTTCACTCCCCAACTGGCCGCTACAGCTGGAACCGTGACAATCTGAAGCCAGGAGATTCTTCCGGGTCTCCCACACAGATGCAGGGGCCCAAGGACTTGGGCCATCCTCCACTGCTATCCCAGGCCACGACAGAGAGCCGGATGGGAAGTGGAGCAGCCGGGACTCGAACTGGTGCCCATATGGGATGCTGGCGCTTCAGGCCAGGGTGTTAACCCGCTGTGCCACAGCACCGGCCTAGGTTTGAAGTATTTTAAGTAAAGCTGCTGTAAATTTCACAGCCCTGTCTGTTTAACTTTCATTTATCATATTTTAAATTCATGTTTCTTGATGTTTCCTTCTCTTTTTAAATAGATATGATGATGCTATACAGCTATATGATCGAATTTTACAGGAAGATCCAACTAACACTGTAAGTTTACAGCTTCTCTTTAATATAATCTAAAGTTAAATTTAAGAAGTGAAATTAATTCATTGAAGAAAGATACATATGAACCCAGGTTTTATTTTAAATAGTTCTTGATAGACCACATTTTATTTTAAATAGATTTAAAACTCCAATAAAATTTGACTTGTAGAAGCTACCTTGTTAGAAAAGAATCTAGTTAAAATTTGGAAAGAGTAGATAGACTGCATACTAATATAAAAGCCTAGAAAACCTGTGTTTTTGTAATATTTTGAAGCTTATGAAAGCTAACTTGTCTATTTTGTGTAGCTATATTTTAGTTAATGAAAAATGAAGGAAATATTTTAATTAATATGTGGAATTAATGAAGATATTTTGCCTTTGCTTTTTTCTAACCTCAAACATGAATAAGAAAACATAAGTTTATATTTGTGTATCCGTGGTTTTCTGAAGATGGCAGCTTTACCCTGATTTCACACTAATGTATTCTAAATATGTCTATATAATAATTTTTACTTAAAGAAAAATGCCCTGCTGAGGTTTATGGCTTTTTTTTCAATTGAGAACATTTTAGTGTTAAAAATTGGCATAAAAGCTTCCTCAGATTTAATTTTTTACTCAACGCAAAGTTAGAGATATTTTAGATGATATTTTAGTCATTTTAAAGGATTATATCACTATTGCCATGCAGACATATGCCCCTGAAAGAAAACCTTTCAGAATTTTTAAAGAAAAAGTTGAGTTTTTCTTCTTTTGTAATTGTGAAAATTTTATATTAACACATAATACTGACACATGAAAAATTTCCCTCATTTGACAACTATTTCTTTAAAAATAGAAAGTCATATAATGTATGAGTATGACTTGAATTTTAATGTGCCAAACTGTGATATTTAAAACAGTGATAACTTCATTCATTTTAAGTAATTATATTAGCATAGAGAATTACTTAATTTTCAAATGTGTAATTGTAGAGCAAATTTATTCCAGGTTTTGATCATAAGTCCCTTTCTATGCTTATTTCTTTTGATATTCCATAGTAATTTTTGTGTATTTATAGTAGTAGATATGTTCTGTAAGTAATAGATTTCCATGTTTATTATTATCCCACCCTATGGAAATTTTCTCTGGAAACTTTTGGGTTCTTCTTGTATGTGTTTATGTAGATACTTGCATGAGAAAGTTTGATTGTTTCATGAGAGTTCTCAGAATACAGACAGTTCAGGGGGAAGTTTTGAGAGCTGAAAGCCTACCTGTTTCAAAAAATCAGTGTCTCTCAGTTTATCTAATATTGGATGTTAATAATATAAAGAAAATAAAATTTGAATGTTCTTGACTAATTATATTAACTGTTCTGAGTTTACCATCCATGTTAGTGAAAAAGAAGCCTTATAAAGAGTACCATTTTCTTTTGGTAAAGATTATCTCATTCACTTACTTTAAATGTTAGATTTCAGCACAGTTTCCAAAATACTCATTTTCTGCTTAGGCAGTCATGTGTTGAAAAAAATGAAGTCAGGTTTATAAAGAGTTTTTGAGTTATAGAGCTATTAATAAATTAATAGCTAATAATTTAATTTTTTTGCATTTTACTTCTGTTTCATCATAAGGGATGTTTTTAATAAGTTTATTCTATTTCCAGGATATAAGATAATACATGATTAAATATTCTTTCTTTATAGTACTATTTTATGACTTTATAAAACCTATGTTATGACTTTTTGTGACTTTAGAAACCAAAGAGAATTTATATGATTCTTGTCATAGATTATGGGGATACTTTGAAAAGTTTATTAAAAAGTAGAATTAAAGATTAGTTTACTTGATAGAAAATTTTTGAAAGTCAACGCATATGATGAGTCTTCAAAAATTTTTGGCAAAGTCTTACTATAGAAAAACTATATCAGCTTCAACATTTTGCACTAAAATAAGTTTTTCTTTCAATTCCGTTTGCTATGAACTTTGTGTAATATGATCATATGTGTGTAGAAATAGTAACTATGACCTTCACTGATCAGGTAAACTTTTTAGAAAAGATTACTAAATTTAGCTTTGCTAACTGTATTATTCTTTTGTCAAATGTTACTTAATTTTTCCTTAATCCATCCTTTCTTTCTATAAACATTTTTGATTATTTCTCATGACTCACCACAGTGTTAATATTACCAAGAGTAAAGATACTGATTCTATTTCTGTATCTTTAGAAAGCACTGGGCAAGACATTGAGGGAAAAAGCAAAGCCATAAAAAGCTTAGAACTAATAAAGTCTAATAGAACACTCACTTGGGTTAAACAGTTAAGTTTTCGTGAAGACATCACTATATTTTTCTAAAACATCTTTATTATCTCAAAGGTGAGAAAGTCCAATTTCATCCGTAGCCACGGTTGTAATTCATAATTTTATGATGTTTATATTTTGTCTAAAAATGATCATCTGACCCTTTTATTTGTCTTGTGTCTCTGTTTCTACATAGCCAGTATAGAAATGAGGTGAAGTTGTTCACCTAAATCTCAAAGTCAGACATTAGCAGTTCTGTCAACACTCAGAAACGTGCAGCTTTATCCTCACTTTGTTTTCAGGGGGGGCACACAACAAGAAATGCAAACATAAATTGTGATTCTTCTGGGTATATAAAAACCCATAAGTCACTGTTGTCTCCAGAATTAATACAAGTCAAGGATTTGACACTTCTATCTCAGCTTTCTGCAATGATAAAACTAGTCCTCCATAGCCCCTAGACCTTTCAAGCATAGTGAGTGGAGAAGATCTAAGTGTTTAGCCACATTACACATGCATGGTGATTCTGTAAAAAAGTTTTCTTCTCCCTTTCCAGCCACTGATGGGAAATTATTCTCTAAGGTATCAGAATCAGCAATAGTCTTCAGTAGCAGAGGTGCCTGATGTTTCAAATTTGCCGCTGGAAATATTAGGACCCTATCTTCCTCTTGATCTAAGTTGCGGTTCCAAAGTTACAAACCCCTAGTCCCAGATTCTTCTTATCATTCTTCTTACCATCTAAGCAGCATGGCTATTCAGACTATGAAGCCAATTCCCTAAAATTTTTGGAAAGGTGCTCTTCACTAACTCGATCTTCTGGGAGTTCTCTGGCTCCGCAAAGCACGTTTATGGAGAAAACTACAACCTGTTAGTACCCAAGGGCAATTCTGTCCGTTGATCTTAGTGGTGAAAACTTAACAGATGTGGAATTCCTAGATGATTCCTAAATGGAGAGCTTGCTTCTGAGTGGAGATGAGTATAATCAGGACTTTGATTCAACTAGTTTTGAGGAATTTCAGGAGGAAGACGATGCTCTCAATGAAATTGTGTGATGTATTTGGGAAATGGATGAAGAGAATGGCTTCATGATTCAATGTGAAGAGTGTCTGTTTTGGTAGCACAGTGTGTGAATGGGGCTGCTGGAGAAGAACATTCCAGAGCAGTACATCTGCTATGTCTGCAGAGACCTTCCTCGTTAGAGGTGGAGCATAAAACATTATGATAAGGATTGGATAAATTATGGGAGAATGTGTGGGATATCTTTTTTTCTTTAAAGATTTATTTATTTATTCGAAGGAGTTACACAGAGAAAGAAGGAGAGGCAGAGAGAGCGAGGTCTTCCATCCACTGATTTACTCCCCAGTTGGCTGCAATGGCCCGAGTTCTGCCGATCTGAAGCCAGGAGCGAGGAGCTTCTTCTGAGTCTCCCATGAGGATGCAGGGGCCAAAGGACTTGGGCCATCTTCTGCTAACTTTACCAGGCCATAGCAGAGAGCTGGATCGGAACTGGAGCAGCCTGGACTTGAACCAGTGCCCATATGGGATGCTGGCACTACAGGCAGTGGCTTTACCTGATACGCCACAGCGCTGGCTCCGTGGGCTATCAGTTTTAAAAGAAAATTTCTCATCTCAGTGTCAAAAAGATATTTTCTGGACATCTGCTTGCTGATATCTACGGTGTTACAGAAGTACTACACTGGTTACATCTGATATTGAAATACTGAAGAATAAACATCCTGATATTCATTGCTGGGCATGTTCTGGCAAGCATAAAGACCGAGATGAAATAATAGTGGGAACAGAGAAAAAAGAAGCAGTGTGAGACACAGTTACTCTAGAAGTAAAGAAATATGTACAGAATCATGAAGAACCACCTCATTTGCCCCTAAGAATTGAAGGAACTTATATCAGAAATGAGCACAGCTATCAAATACACAAAGTTTGGTCAGGACTAAGAATCTCTTGAAGTCCCTGGGAGCTTAGATGATTATGATGTTAGTAGTTTTGAAGAACAAGAATTCCACATGGGAGATAAAAACCATTTAATATTCTCAGCAAAAGAGCATAGAATACCTGAAAAGAATCCTGCTGAAGGGAATATAGTTTTTGTTTATAATGATAAAAAGGACTCTGAAGATACACTAGACTCGCATCTTCAATGGCAGCTCGATCTGTTGATAGACATAGAAAATGTGCAGAATTGGGCTGATGCTGTGGTGTAGTAGGTGAGTTAAGCCTCTGCCCATGGCACCAGCATCCCATATGGCCACTGGGTCAAGTCAGACCACTTCCCATCCAGCTTTCTGCTAATGGCCTGGAAAGCAGTGGAAGATGGCCCAGGTGCTTGTGCCCCTGTACCCACGTGGGAGACCTGGAAGAATCTCCTGGCTCCTGGGTTTCAGATTGGCCCAGCTCCAGCCATTGTGGTCATTTGGGGAGTGAACCAGCAGATAGAGGACCTCTCTCCCTCTCTCTCCATCTCTCTTTCCGTAGCTCTGCCTCAGATAAATAAATAAATCTAAAAAAAAAAAAAAAAAAAAAGGAAAGAAAACATGCAAAATCAAATCACCAGCAGGATGGATCTGATAGAAGAGGTTGATGTTCTGGAAAGCTGAATTGCTTTCACAGGTGAATTGGAGCCACCAGATCCTCTGAAAACTTAATGTAATGTTTGTCTCTTTTGATGAATCACTTTTATTATCCACCTGACTGCTAGGTGGATTGTTAA